CAGGCCATTGCCAATCGTGCAGGACTTGACTCGGTGACCTGACGACTGACAGAATATCAATTTTCTGCGCACCCAGACCCAAGCCATCCCGTCGTATCATCCTGTCACAGTCGTGGTGCTACTGTCGTTAGCAAGTTACAGCCGTCATCCATCGGATACTGAGATGACAGATTGAGTAAGCGAGTATTAAATCGTCGGCGGGATTATCTAATCACTGTCACTGATTGATTGAGCTGATCTGATCTGAGCTGAGTCACTGAGGCTGTCAGACTGACTGATTATCTGAGATGATGGCAATGCCATACGTATAACTAGCGGCAACCGATGACTGATGATTCAATGATGCAATGACGATCGACGATGATGATAAATACCAGAAGTATTCTCAGCCACCAGCTTACGAGTCATGTAATGTAGTTGGGTCAAACTATAACTCGACTAGGCCCTCAGGTCTGAAGCTAACACCTAGGCAGGGTTAGGGTATAAGGAAACCCCTTATCCAGCGCAACCTGGAGGACAGAATGCGCTGCCAGAGCCTCTGGTACCTGTGTGCTACTGCCCGCTGCACGATGCCGAGCGAGCGTCTTGTGACAAGTGTGGCAAGGGCTTCAATCAGGAGGTTGCCAGTGGCCGCCCTCCGAAGTTTGCATCCCGTAGCTTAGCAGCAGTCAGTCAACAGGTCACTTACACTTGTCGGACCGTCGTATAATTGGTTTCTTCATTGGCGCAGTGGCTGAGGCAGGCCAGTAGCTGTGCAAATTCGGGTATTGCATGGTCGAACGGTTGAATCAGAGTTTTCAGCCTCGGTTCAGCTCAAGCCCACTTTTGTTTAATTGGTAATGGGAGAAACTAGTAACATTCATTCTATAGGTCCGAACCCATGTCTGCCTTCGGAGATCCGGATAACTAAATTAGCAATTAGGACAACTTGCAAATTATACTTGAAACTGTAACAATGTGTCCTTATCTATTTTAAGTATGTCGAACCTTAAAGTCAGTCTTACTCAACACAAAGACGGCTTCCCACATGGTAGATTTGCTGAGCCGTCATGATTTCGATCTGAACTACCTGCTATCCATTTCTTGTCAAATGGTTTGTACCGTACCCATAAGCATCATCATTGCAACGCCTCTCGGCGAACATTGCCTGTTGATTCTGCTCGGTATCTACTATAAATGTAGTTTAGCAGCTAAACTACATTTTAGCATTTAATCATAATACTTGTAAATAAATGAATAACATGTCCTGACTAAGAGCTTTCGGTCGGGATTGGATTGTTTATGTTCTGGTAGAGACGGTCAATTCTATTAAAGTCTCGGTTTAGTTTATTCCAATAAATATAAAAGTAGCTAATAATAATAATAAATCATACAGTTCCGGCTGTTAACCTGACCTGCTCAACACTAGTTTGGATTTCAAGTTAGTGTCCCTTGAAGCTTTAGCCTCCTGGCTTTGACTTAAATTTAAAACCAATTACTGGCTGAGGCCAGGAGATCTCGAAGGCCAAGGAGGAGCAGGAGGCCAAGAGCAAGCAAGTGGTCGCACCTGTCCAAACCGGCCAAACCGAGGAGCAGGCCCTTCTTGGTCAAGTGGCGGTCTTTGAGAGGAAGCTAGCCGAACTAAAGGCCAAGAGGGCAGCAGAGGCTGCCGAGGAGGAGCGCAAGAAGGAGGCCTTGGAGAAGCAGCGCCAGGATTTGGAGGCTGCCGAAAAGGCTGCTGCAGCGGAGGCTGCAGCGGAGGCGGAGATTCGTCGGGCGGCGGAGGCTGCCACCAATGCTGCTGCAGCCGAAGAGGCTGAGAAGATTCGTCAGGCTTCGGAGGCTGCCACAAAGGCTGCAGCAGAGGAGGAGAAGAAGAAGGCCGAAGCACGTGCAATGGAAATGTTCGAGAAGTACCGTAAGGAGTTTGAGGAGAAGATGGCACGCGAGGCTGAGGCCAATCGGGGGCAGTCGGAGAAGGAAGCCTTGGAGCGTAAGAACGCCCAGGGGGTCGCGGAGGCTGAGAAGGCTGCAGAAGCCAAGGCAGCTCCGAATGACAAGAATGACGATCACATGGTGGGAGCTGGCTTGGCTACGGAAGCCAATGAGGCCAAGGATGCACAGGCTCCGAAGGAGCAGGCTCAGGAAGGGACGAAGGGCTCGATGGACGGAGCCCAGGATGGTAAGACAGATCCGGAAGTCACAGACAAGCCCGTGACCGATGACTCCAAATCCAAAGTCAAGACTCCAGGCCAGGTTTGATAGGTAGGAGTCGTAGATTGAAATCTGCCGGTTTAGGACGTTTGGGGTTTAGGGATTTGGGGTTTAAAGTTACAGTGTTGACATTACGGGTTCAGTTACGGGTTCAGTTCAGTTAGGGTCTTACGGGTTGTGGGATGCAAATAAATCAAATAAGGAACAGCAGTGGACACTATGTAACGTGCACTTAGAGGCCGCGGTTCTTGCAATAGGGTCTAGGGGTTGAGAGTTTAAGGAGTTTAAGTTTCGGTGGAATAAGTCGAAATCGTAATTTATGACAAGTAACAACATACCCTGCCCTCCAACACCTGTCCCAGATTTGTTTTCGAAGCCTGCCGCGAAGAAGCAGCGCAAGCAGCAGCTCGGACAGGAAATAGGGGGTGGTACATTGGGGTGGGTAAGCTCCTTGAGGGTGGTTGTGTTGGGGCGGGGAGGGCAGGGGGGATAAGGCGGGCGGGGGCGGGGGTTCGAGCGGTTTCGAGCGGTTTCGAGGAAGTGGGTCACCCCCCCAAATGTCTGTATTTTACAAGGGATTCGGGGCCTGACCCACTTCCTCTAAAACGCTCGAAACCTCCCGAGCGGGGGGGGGGTCCGGCCCGAATTCTTGGTCCCTATTCCCCATCTGAGGTGAGTTGGGCCATTGGGCGCTCTCGCACGGCCGGACGGCTGTAGCGGCTTTTATTATGACGCATCTGAGTTTTGACTGTCCTGTCAGTGCAGGCTTGCATTCATGAGCGAGGCAGGGTAACCCAGGCATGCACGGGTCAAGGGGATGATAACTTGGTTCAGGCTAATATACTGTACGACTTTACTTTCTTACAGTATTATCATCTGTACTGATAGTACTGGTACTCCAGCGCGAGTGCTGCTCGAATGGTTACCGGGTGCCCGCATCGTAGTCGTAGAGCCTGCGAGTACAGCTTGTGTGGTTGATGCAACGTGGCTCGACGTCGACACACAGTGTCAGTGCCAGTGCTGGATGAAACTAAACTGGCAGCCAACTTCTGCATGGCATCAGTCTTAAAGAGTGCAGCTTAAATTGAACTTAGGCCTGCTTCTATTTATATGTTCTATTCTTAGATGAACTAGACTTAGAGCTCAATTTGTATATGATCAACCTCTTGCGTTGTAACAGTTTAGCAGACAGTACTACTTATTATTACTTAACTTTACGATAATGATGATAATAAGTCTAGTAGTTATTATGAATTACAGTTACACTTATCTATAACTAAATGTGTGTACAATAGGTTGTATCAGAATTATTTTTATAGTTACTATTATTAGTCATTATTAGTATTTAATCGGTGGCCTGGTAATATTAGCACTTGTATATCTAGGGTCTAGCCACAGTAACTGTGACAAGTAATTAATAGACATCGATGTGCCCAGAATGTGCAATCCAACAGTTGCAATGCAAGGGTTTCTTTGAAGCTTCCTATGGTTTGAGCTGGCTGTGGCAGCCGATTTCAGTCTTCGGTGCTTCAGGCTGAGAAGCTAGTAAGCCAGTGATGCATTTGTTAGTTGGCAGCTTACTTAGTCTGTTCCTTGGTTCGTTGTTGGTTAGTTAGCTGGCTGCCTAGTTAGTTATCGACTGGGGAAAGCCCGCACTCGTACTCTAGTTAAGCCCAGTTGTTACTGTTACCAGTCTTGTTGTATGTTGTCAGTTATAAGCATTACTGACTGACGTTACAGACTTCAGTATTCCGATTGATTGTCCTTGCTGCAATAGTTCAACTTCACATCAATTATATTCGCAAATGTATTTTCTATTATTATCACAGCATTGCTTTGATAATAATAGAAAATACATTTGCGAATATAATTGATGTGAAGTTGAACTATTGTTGTACATCTTTACTATAGCTAGTAGGTTCATTGGAACAACGGTAACAAGACTATGACGAGGAAAAAGAAGATCAATTAAGGCACTTGAAAACGGTAATATGTGGATGTCAATGATTCAAATATACTGTAGTCACTCAACTGTGTTTTGTTCATTATTCAACAATCTATCCTAGGCCGGGCCCCTTCGAAGAATCACAACTCAATGCATGCGTCCATTTGGGATTCTCATTCATGGGCTTCTCAGAGTTTCATTCGTTCAATTTGCATGATTGGAATCTGACCTGAGATAGCAATCTCTACGACACTTTAAGACTTTATCTTTGTGATAGTAACGAACTCGTGACGTGACGTGGTTACTAACTAAGTCACTACGGAGTCGGACCAGGGTCTCAGGGATAATAATAATGTATTTATAGCATGAGATCATTTTAATTTAAATTTATCGGATGTAGGCAGGATCGATTCAATCAGTAGTAACGACTACAGTCAGTCAGACATAGCTGGCAGTGTCGTCAATGCACACGCACAGTAATGTAACAGTAATCGCTCGTGACTTCGGGGAAGGGCTGCTGGCGGTTGTCAGCAGTTATCGCGAATCAGGGTCCAGAGTGAGCTCGGATGCGTGAGTGAAATTCAGATTAAATTCAGTCAGTGTGCGATTCAGATTCTGAATTAATTAAAATTCAGAATTCGTTCTAGTGTGTAAACCCTGAAGCCTCACTCCCTAACCAACAGGTCGACTCGTCCGGCTGCATAGCTGTTGCCGATCCTGTCGCCAGCATGGGTCGGTCAGGCACGGCTGTCAGGCTGTAGTGAGTCAGTTGGCAACATATGTTTGGCCGCAGTCAATGTGTCAAGCCGTTTTTCCCTGGTGCATAATCAACCAGGCTTGCAGAGGACTTATCTAGGGTGCAATGTCGACTCCGGAATCGCCCATCCGTCCCTCGCAGACGCCTGCCAAGCGCCGCATCAGTCATCTCGACTCCCCGCATAGTCAGATCTCGGTCTCCGAAGAGACCACCCACAAGAAGGGCCGAGCCGAACTCGACACGCCAGTAACGCCTGGCACGGGGCACACAGCAACATCTGATGCAGCTTGGCAGACAGCCGATGTCGTCGACAGAGCTCTGGCCCGTCGGCGATCCGAACCCCAGCCCTCGGGATGCAACGACATCCTAATCATGGGACATGCCGACGAGTCGCCATTGAAGCCGTTCCCTGTCGCTGCACTTGATACTACTTTAACAGGGGCAACACCAACCGAATCAGTTCGACCAGAGTCTCCTCCCGAGAGCTCTCCCCGCGCCAACCCCAAGCCCAGTGCCAAAACCAAAGCAAAGGCTAAGAGCTTGCCGAAGGCGAAGGCGAAGGTTGGTCCGAAGTCTAAAGCAAGCACAAGCAAAGCTGGCAAGCAAGCATGTGCTGATCCCACTCAGAGCAAGCTTAACTTTACGGCCAATCTCAAGTCTTCCGGAGGGGCCTCATTCTCGGTGACGCTATCGGGCCAGGGAGGCGCGCAAATGCCTCAATACAGTGTACTAAGAACCACTGATATGATAAATAAGTCTGAGGGAAATAATAATAATGTTAAATAATAATAATAATACATATCAACATAGTCAATATCTTACCTTAGTTTAAGTAATAATTTATTAATACCCGAAGCCCTCGACGCGACCCTAAGGATGATTCAACGATATTTAGCTTATGGGACGCATATATAGACCCTTGACCCTGGGAGGCACCCCAAGCACTGACTCGTCGTCGGCGGCTGCCTGAACCAGAACTTTCCGCTTCCAGTGTCATTGCTGCTGAGTCCAAAGCCATTTCGGTAACCGTTACTTGCCCGTTGCCAACAGTCAGTTCCCCCGAACCCACCTAGAATGCCTGTGTGTTCAAATGGAAATAATTACACTGTTGCTGAAGTATAAAATCTGAGTCTGTACTAGTGTGGTTAGCCTACTTAAGTTAAGTCCTGTACCCTCTGAGTACAGCGTTCTGAGTCTGAGCAGCCTTTGACACATGCAGCAAGATGACTGACTGACATAGCCGGTGCTCGCCCGATGATCTCGGTATAATTATGGCTGAGCAGAAGTTCAGGACCCAGGTCACGAGCCGCCATGAATGCACAACCCCAAACTTCAAACAACGTTTAGCTTGTGGTTGCTGTTGTTGTTATCATTAGTAAGGGTCATTCGAGCTTCATTTTGCAGTCAACGCGTGTACTTACTCGATCTGTCAGAAATTTGAATGCAGTGCAGAGACACTGCACAAACTCTAGCTCTAGTTACTCTAGTTCCAGACTGCATTGCATTGCAGCTACCGGCACGTTGCGCTGCTGCAAAAAAAGCTACTCCCAGAGTGACATGTGCGACAATGCCACTGGGCGGGTTAAGGTTTAGATGGTTTAGCCAAGGGCTTTAGGCGTTGGCTGTTTAGGCTTTCGCAGGCATCAACCGGTAAACCTCTACATTATGTGGCTGGACCCTGGCCTGCCACTGACTGTCTGTGACCCCAGCCCAGACCGTGACTCAGTAACCTGGCTTGGTGTGTACCCTGAACACTGAACAATCAGTTCATCAGCTGTCAGTGTCAATCGTTGACTTACTGTACAGGTTTAGGGTTCAGAATCTAAGATTCCTAAGATTAATGATTGATAACCAAGAAGTCAGTCACTCAGTGTATACTAAATGATTTAAACTTACTTTTAATATTATACGTCTAGCAATTTAGTATAGATGACTGACTTCTTAGTTATCAAACTAAGTGGTCAGTAGCTCAGAATCAGAATACTAAGTATTCTGATTCTGAGCTACTGACCACTTGGCTTCACCAATCCCAATGGCAATAGTTAATAGTACTTGTGTCTTGCATTACTAATAATTATTAGTCATACGCTGTTAATTAATAGTTCAAGCCGAAAGCCTCCTGGACCTGGATCCTGATTCATTCCTGACCCTGGATTCTGGACGGACCGGACCCCTGAAGCTTTAAATTGAACCTGATCCCAGGAATCTCAGACCGTAGCCCAGATGAGCTGACAGTAACGACTTGGTTAGTAGACAGTTGACAACATTATATACCGTATTATGTTTGTCAAGTAATTAATTAGGGGCCTTCGGCCCTAGAGTGTAGTTGTTATGCTAGATCGCCACAGTCGGTCAGGCCTATACGTGTCGTCTTAATTTTGTAACTGTGGCAGTGTAGCTACAGTATGACATTGTGTTGATTCGTTATGATTCATGATTCATGTCGCAAGACTAGTATTAAGTCTAGGAGCCCGTGACGTATGATGATTTCAACGAATGACCCAAATTAATGATCCCCGGAGCCGTAACATAATTTAGCTATCCCGGCTTGGCACATGCTTCGCCCAGGTAGTCTCCAACATAGCAGCGCTCGCGAGCCAGCTGGCGCAGCCGTGCCATGCCTCTGCTTGCCACTAATAGTAGTGATATCGAAGGTTCAGTTTCAGTTCAGCAGCCTTTAATTTTGGGCTTGATAGAACTTCAGAACTGGCGGTTACGGGTTCGGGTTCAGTCAGTCTTAAAGTTTTAAGTTTAGGGGGTTAGGGACCAGGGATTCGGATTGGGGTTAAATTACTAAGACTTATTATTATTAGTATTATATTAATAATAATTAGACGAATAAACCATAAATAAAGAGTCGGAGGCCCCCCAATAAAGAAGTGCAACAAAGGGCTGGAGTCTCGTGCACTGGGCTAGAAGCTTTTTTCCGGTCCTAACTCAATAACTTAAGCCGACCCGACCCTTGCCTTTAATTAATTAATAATAGTAATAACCTCAACCATAAATAATAACTTATATCAAAACCCTGAGAACCTCAAGACCCCAGATCGTTTGACTTAGTGGTTATTTATAACCGGCATAGTCTAATGACCGTTTGACCGTCTGATGATAAGTCCTAAATAAGGCCCTACAGGATTCGATACGCCGGGCTCGAGGGCTTCCGCCGGGCTTCCGGGCTTTCATCAGTGAATGTGGACTAATGGCACTATAAGGTTATAGGGTTTTGGGCTTAGGGCCAGGGGGTTACTTAATTGACATCTTCGATGAAGGCTTTCAGGGTTTTCTTTCGGATATCAGGGGCCTTATTTGGGGGAGCTTCTGAACTTCAGGGCCTTGGGCCTTGAGTCGAACTCAGGGACAGAGTAGTGACGTCAGATGTACGTTTCAATCAATGATGGGATTTCCGAAATCCGAGTCTTCCTTGGCCCCATTATGCCATTAGCCATCGACCCATGAGTTAAGAGCTCAAGTCCACCCCAAAATCCATCGAGTGAACGACTTACGAATTAAAATGATGAAGGTTCTAGGCGGTGCCTTTTCAACTTTGAATTGAATGGATATCTCTGAGATGTGACACCTTTGAACCGAAAAAATCTAGTACTTGTAACGCATTAGTATTAGTATTGAATTGAGCTGGGTTCAATCGAAACCTTATAGGTCTCATTATTCGGATGCCAGGCTGTCAGACGCCCTTGACTCGACTTGACTTCGGGTGTATGATGCACGTTGCCTGCCAGAGATTCAGAGAGACGACTGACAATTGTAATGTAAGTTCCAAGATTATTGTGCCCATCCCTTGAAGCCTTAAAAGCCTTAGTCACTAACAGACCAGCAAATAACAGTAGTATTATTAGTCTCAGACTCATGTCGTCATTAGCACGAAGTAACATCATGCCGTTCTAACGACAGTGTCTGCAAATCTCTCTGCTGCCCTCTGTCAGTCTCGTCGGTCGTTCTTACGCTATTATTCCTTGGTTCCACTACAACGTTACCCGATGATGCGATACCGAGCTGAAACTTTCAAACAGCCAAGCTTAGACTAGACCTGAGCACACTAAGCCGAGTCACAGTTGTGGCTTGGATACGCTAGTCGCAGATGGTGGTAATTAATGGTGCGGTTTAGTCAGTGTAGGACTCGGGCGCTGATTACATTAGTAGTTGTGATTGCATTGATGATAAATATTAGCAGTAGTAGATGTAGTAGTAGATGTAGTAGTAGTCGTCGTCGCAGGAGTAGTAGTAGCAGTAGTAGTAGTAGTAGCAGTAGTAGTAGTAGTAGTAGTTGTTGTTGTAGGGGTGGGAATAGGAGTGGTGGTGGTAGTAGAAGTAGTAGCAGTAGTAGTAGTAGTAGCAGCAGTAGTAGTAGAAGTCGAAGTAGTAGCAGGAGTAGATTTAAAGAAGTAGTAGTAGAAGTAGTTAGTGGTCGAAGAAGTTGAAGTAGTAGTGGTAGCAGTAGCAGTAGCAGTAGCAGTAGCAGTAGCAGTTGTAGTAGTAGTAGTTGTTGTTGTAGTAGTAGTAGTTCAACATATGTTTCCATTAAATCCAAGGAATCTCGGTGATCGCCACGATCTTGATCCGCCCGCCGACATTCCAATCCGCGAGCGCAAGACCATTCAAGGCATGCTGGTGCCTGAGCTGCATTAAACTAAACCAGGCTCGGTCTTGTCTGCTGAATCATTGCTAGCTGTGCCCAAACCAGAATCAATCCTGAGCACGTCCCTGCGCTACCGCTACGTTCGCAATTATCCAATGGTGTTAAGATTATTGTTGGCCATCTGAATGTTGAAGTTGTCTGTCTGACAAGCCCTGCTCTCATGGCAAGCGGTGCCCCTTAATTGTTGTCGACTTTGTTAGTTAGTATAGGTATGAACTAATCTGACTTGAGATTGATCCTTCAGGTACTGGCGCAAGCTCTGAACGGCAACCTGGACCTCGTGTGGGGCAGAGGCTTGCTGTCGTTGAACCTTGTCACGTAACAAACTTCAATTTGGTCTTGACTTGTTTTGTCAGACTACATTATAATAGTTATTGTCTGTTACTCGTCCTAACTTGCGAATCTCCTCTGTCTACGGTGCAGGGAGTCGGGAGTGAGTCGGTCGGTCGGTCAGGTCGCACTGTCGGTCGCCGAGTGACTCGCCGGGCCCTTGCCAACTTCAACGTGGATCGATTGGTTCATTGTCGACTGGTGTTCAGTGTCAGTGCGAGTGCACCTGATCTTAAAGGATCTTTGTAGTATAGTACGAACAATTAATGGGTCAGCCGATGTCGTGTGCTTATGAGAGTTTAGTTTCAGGTTCTGAGAATCTGACTTACCGTTCCCTGGGATATTATTCAGATTCAGAATCATAAAAGTAGCCCACCTAAGAGATCAGATAACCCTTCCGCGTCAGGGCTGCAGTTTCATAAAAATAGCGCGGGATAAGGCTTCTTGGATTGACAGGGTCTCTGAGAACTGAGGTCGAAACGTGTTCTAGGATTCTAGAGTTCAGAAATGAATCGAAGCATGGTCCAATGGTTTCTGATGACAATGATCTGAAGCAATAAACACTTGCTACCACATTTGTTACTTACTTACTCGTCGCTGACTAAATGAATCACTCAAGCTAAAAATTCGGCTGTGACTCGGGCCTCGACTTGTCATTTATCCGTGCTCATATTGATTTTTGACCGCGGAAATTTGAAAAGTCTTAAAGTTATTATTATTTTATCTTACGAATACGACGACTACTAAAGGTGACATAATGGCATCCATTCTATTACTATTCCAGTCTCACGAACAGCTTTACTCAGTCACTGACTGGACATCTCTTAATTATAATTAATCTGAACCTATTACTCGTCTTCACTGACTGACTGACTTACACAATTAGAATAATAAGAGTAAGACTTAAGAAGTGACGACTACTACTATGATCTCGATTGTCAATTGCTAGTACCGCTTTTAGTGTAGTCTATTTTGCCTAACTACCTTGACAACATAATTAACATAAATGGACCTGGATCAGAAACACTAATCCTAAGTAAGACATGGGTATCAGACCCAAGTATAATAGATTCAACGAAATGAGACTCGTGGACTTAACTATCACCCAGGAAGCCTGACCGAAGACTTCTGCCCTTGGAAAGTGCGGGAGAAGTTCTGGCCACGCCAGATGAAGGCCTTTGCCCTGCAGACATTCGGCAGCGCCCGCTGCTCACGATGGCATCCTGGTCCTGACCGGCTTTGATTGATTAAAGACCTGATCGAGTTATAAGCAAGTATTACGGGCGTAGCTTAGATGCACTTTCACAGTAGTGGTGGTAGTCGTAGTAGTAGCAGTAGTCGTAGTAGTTGTAGTAGTAGTAGTAGTAGTAGTAGTAGTAGTAGTAGTAGTAGTAGTAGTAGTAGTAGTAGTAGTAGTAGTAGTAGTAGTATATAGTAGTATTAGTAGTAGCAGTCGAAGTCGTAGGCGTAAGCCTACATGTACTCGTAATCGTAGTCATCAGAATATTATCAGTAGTAGTAGGAGGAGGACGGAAAATATTGCTACTGCTACTACTCGTACATGGTAGTAGCTGTAGCCGCAGTAGTAGTAGTAGTAGTAGTAGTAGTAGTAGTAGTAGTAGTAGTAGTAGTAGTAGTAGTAGTAGTAGTAGTAGTAGTCTAAGCAGCAGCGGTTGCAGGAAACTCAGTAGGCCCGGGTTTGGTGTGTGTGTGTGTCCTGTGTGTGAGGGGAAACAGACTTATGTCAGAATAATAAAATACATAATTAGTCAGGTCGCTGACGAAGAAGCCCTTCCCTTCAAGACAATGTTTGTGCTGGGGCACGAACTTGGCTTAAGGCTATTCATACAACCCGAATCGACACACTCGTTGTGGAACGATTGTCGGAACTCTGTGCGTCGTGGTGGCTTGCAACATACGCTTCTTCTTTCCGGAGTTCTATCGAACACAGCACACGGACCTTTTGCTGGTGGACAGAATCACTGGACTTTGAAAGAGGCTGCTGAAGACTTGGGGGCAAGGTTGTCAGAGAAAGCGTTCGCTGAACTCGTTGAACTGATGATTCAGGATAGGGCTGTGGCTTCTGAGGACGACGAGTCCGAAGTAGGACTGCTTCCAGAGCAGCCCTCAGACATCGCGAATCTGCCAGCAGTGAACAACCTGCCTCCCTTCGTCTTGGCCTCAGTGGCTCAATCCTTCGCCATCCCATCGTGTGGAACTTTCTCAATCAACCAGAGACTATGGTTGACATAAAAACTAGTAGTAGTGTTGAGTGAGTGAGTCTTCGATTCGTAAATTAAATTGTTATAGCCGAAGTAAATAGACCAGGGACGGTACAATTGACTGACAGACAGACAGACAGACTGTCGTGACTCATGTGCAGTGCAGTGCAGCGCATTATTATTATGGCATTCAAGTCAAACAATACCTTATATCATAATTAATAATATTATGAAGCCGTAATCTGTAAAATAATAAACAGACTGGTCAGAACTCCGGTCGGTCAGATAATCGTCATCGTCGTGACAACTCCGGAAATAAACTGTTGTAGTAGCTCGGATCGTGTGTTTAATTTAAAACACATCGTTGCAGTTGTACCGGGACGACTACTTATAGCTTACTGTAACTGCATTTACATTTCACAAGTGAAAGTGGCAGTGGCCCAAGTGTAAGTGAAGAGACACCTACATTGTAACATAGTCGCTGACTGTCTGTCAGTATCCCGACTATTTATTCTCGTAGCTGCAATAATAATCATATTAATGCAATATTTAAGGACTGTTAACTATTTATTTACTAGGAGGACTAACCGAATCGTCTGGGCCATCGTGGAACGGTCCCTGGTCGGAGTCCACAACGTAACTATACACATGGAAACATAGAATCGTCGGAGTTCTCACGGACAGCATGCAATCACTGTAGCAGCGCAGTCTAACTTCAAGTATCCCTAAGACAGCTGCTAACTTACTGCTCACCTCCCACAACCGAGCAGCACCAACCTTTGGATTTGCAGGTGAAAACCAAATCTTGGTTTGCGGCCCTGGATTCCATGGACTATCTGTGCGAGAACTGGACTCTTCTGTCCACGGTCCTGGACCATGCTCTCCGACACCTCATCGATGCAGGCGCCGCTGGCCTTCATTCATGGTTCACCTCAGCTCAGTTTGTCTGATCTTGGGATTAACTGACTGACGGTCTGTCGGGGATTTTTAATTAAATTAATTACGACGACACTAACTAATCCAAACCCTTAAATTAAACCCCTGGACCCCTAAGTCTGTTTAAGTCAAGTAACTTAGTAACTACTAGTAACACTGACTGAGCCCTAAAATCTCAACAACCCTGGTCCCTTAATGCATTTTAAATTTAATTATAAATATAATTATTCACCCAAACCCGCCCTATAAATTATTTTCGTCTTAGGCTAAATTAATCCAATGAATTTAATTTGAAATTTGGACCTACAGTCTAAATCTAATTTCAATAATACAATAATACTAATTAATTTAGTATTTATTATTATTATTCTTAAAATTATTATTATTATATTATTATTATTATTTATTTTAAACAAAATAAGTAGCGTAAATTCACAATCCCTCCGACGCCAAGTAATTCAGACTAAGTCTAAGACTAAGGCTTTAAACACCCCAAACCCTCTAAGCCCTGGAAGACACTTGACAATCAGCAGCCAGTGACTGACAGCGTCAGTCAGTAGCGACGTGTGACAGTGTATGTGCGTGTGCATCACTATGTTATAGACTTTGTCGTGTGTGTGTGTGTGTGTCCTAGAGTCTTCGTCACTGTCACTGTGCATTGCATGTGTGTAGTTACAGTATTGAATGTCTACTTATAGCTTATTGTGAGACTGCTGTCAGTCAGCAACAGACAGTCCTATAGAATAGACTCAGACCGCTGTGATTCACGTGGCCCCGAATCAACATTAAGCGCCTGCAACCGCTCGCTACCCTTGAAGTCCTGGATTCCTGACAGACTCGTATCAGGGAATTATCATAGTCATTCAGATATTCAGACATACCGGCGATGTATATTAATAAGTAACTAAGTGTTGACGGGAACCTTCCAGGATTCCATTCATTGGTAGCCTAGTGCCCTAAATACCCCAACACCCCTAGCCTACTTATTATTATATTTTATTAATTATTTTACTCGTACAGGTCGTAGGCAGTAATCCCGATTATGATTTGGTCGTGGTCCGAGTCGTCCGAGTCTCACCGCCCGTCCGCCACCCGGCAGCAACACAGCAAATGCGACAATAATAGTATTTCTCAACTGAACTGACTTCAAACAGCAATTACAAGTCAAATCAATCCCCTTCGAAGTAGCCTAACTCAATCCCCCAGCAGGAGATTGGCTGTCCAGTCATGAACCCGAGTACTTTCCGAAACTCATCCTTAACCCTAGGGTCACTTGCAAACCGTGAACTCTAAACGATTATGTAGCGACCCTGCAGCAGACATTTATTTAGGGCCTGGAGTTGAGGTAAGTTAAGTAGTAATACAGTAATACAGACAGTGAGGGGTTTAATTCATTAAGGGACCATTCAGAAGTAAATTGTTGAGGTTTAGGGCTTTGCACCATTGCAGAGTCCAAGGAATCCAATGTGGATGACGATGCGGGAGACGGCGAAGATGGTGGCGACGACGAAGATGCTGCTGGGAATGAGGCAGCACCTGCCGCTGCTGGCAAGACCGAGGCGCCGAAGACCAAGTCCGAGCTACAGAAGCTGCGCGAGAACTTTGCTAACACAATGCACTTGTGCTCGCATTTCTATGCCGACCGGACCCTGCAACGGCAAATGCGACTCGTCAGCACGGCCTGCAGACCTGTCCGAAAGTCCTACCAGAAGTCATTGGTGGATCAGAAGAGCCAGGTGGGAAATTATTCGCTGTGATGACTATGACTTACTTAATTTTTAATTTAATCTGTGCGGGATGCGTACGATTGCTGGGCCCAACATTGTCAGTCAGTCAGTCAGTCAAAGCCAGCAACGGTAGTGCTACTATTCAGCCTGAGATGTAACAATCGGGACGGACTGGGAATTGCAATGTAATGTATGTAATGTAAGCCCCAAATCGACTTATCCTTCTTATCGCAGACGGCCTTGCAAGGTGACTGGCATCTGGTTAGCGTAGGACCTCAGGCGAAGGCTTCAATTTCAAGGCTTCGGCTTGTGTGGTTCACGTCTGTGACTACGAGCCCAAATTCTGAAATTGTAACATTAAACAATTATTTAGAAGCCCTCATTTCCCTTCGCCCAAAATCAAAACATCTCAGCGCAACACGTAGCCTAGATTCATCATCCTTTCTTTCCTAAGATACGGTAGTAGTAGTTGTTGTTGTTGTCGTTGTAGCTGCTACTGCTGCGGTTGTCGCTGCTGCGGCTGTGGGTTGTGGCTATTGGTGTGATTGTAGTTGTTTTTGCTCTGTTGATGCTATTGACAAATTGAACTGAATTGTTGCGACTGTCACTCCTAGCCCAAATCCCGTCCAAGCTAAGCCAACCCCTGCACCTGCTTCTGCTCGTGTTACGACGACAGCTACCATTACCACTAGTCACTACCACTGCCACTGACAGGGGCCAGTACCAGTACTGTACTGCCACTACCTCCACTACCACTACCGAAGTTACTACTGCTACTGCTATTACTATCACCACCACTCACTTCAGACTTCCACCAACCACCTATCACCTACCATCAGCCAGTAATTCAGTGACACCACCACCCCCATCTATCCCCTACCACCAACCAACACCACGCAACACCGACCAGCCAACCACCCACCACCACCACCACCACCACCACCACCACCACCACCACCACCACCACCACCACCACCACCACCACCACCACCACCACCACCACCACCACCACCACCACTGCTACCGGTACCGCTACCACCACCCACCACTACCACTATACCGCTACCAGAACCACGAGTCCACGACCACTACCACCAGTTTCATTATTGAAGAATCATTCATTTCCAGGCGTAGCCCTGCTGCTGCCTGACATGAGCAGGAATCCACCATGGAGTTTCAAGCCTCCCGGGCCGCGGCCGGCTGGTTCGACACGGCCCGCGAGACGCTGCAGCTGATCCATCAACCAGAAGCATTGCAGCAGTTCAATGTGACGACGTCTGCGTCGACAGCCATCCTCGAGGAGGATGATGTTTTGGCCGGCGATTCCTGGTTTGTCGAGGAAGCTGATATGGTGGATACCTTCTGGAAGCTTCTTGTGGAGCTGGCGTCTGCGAGATCTTGGAGCCAGATACAATTTTCGACCATCCAGCCTTGTGCTCTAGCGATTGCGCTTAGCCCCGACAACGGCCCGAACAGCCTGGCACAGAAGCTGCTCCACGAGCAACGTGATACTTGGAAGGCTGTACTGTCAGCGGAACGATCATCGGCGAGCGACTCCAAGCTGAGCCCCGGCGACAGGAATGCACTCACGCTGGTGCTCCGCGACTTGGGGTGGAATCGCCTTCAGGTGGCACGGGAGGCGATGCTCGAGTGCACGGCCGCCGGCTGGAAAGTATCCCACGCGCGTGTGCAAGAAACGGCCCACTGCCTTTTCGGAGGACCAGCCCAAACGAAGTACGAGCTCGAGGACCTGTTTGCTCATTTGGCGTCGATCGCACGTGCCTCCAATCTCCCAGTTGCTATGAACAAGTGGCTTGGCGCTTGGACGGTCAGGTTCATAAGTCCAATCATTTAAAGTTGCATTTCCACTGGGTGCTGTCGGCTGTGTAAGTCGTGAGTCGTCTAAGTGCTGTAACATCACTCCCAACATAATTTGACTCCTTAGTCTTAGTCTTAGTCTTTATAATACTTACTAAGCGACCACACACTAAACTATAAACTTGCTGCCTGACAGCCATTTTCTAAACTCCTTTGACGAAACTGCTAAAACTTTGAACTACTTACTAGACTCGTGCCTAATAAGAATAATAAGTTATCTCATTATGGGATAACCCCTTTAATTTGTCTGTATCAAGTCTTGTGCTTCACGGAAAGTCATGGCTACTCACTGCCGTACAGCACTAGTACAGTCAGTACCGACTATCACCTGTTACCCTCACACACCTCTTACTTTTAATGGCACCGGGACCCCGGCCCGGACCGACTTCTGCGACACTCTGAGTGCCTCAGTTCCGCCAAGCCTAAATTTAAATGTTAGCCCCATACTTTACTACACAGCTTGTAAAACATATTATAATGAGAAATAGTAACAGTAAGAAGTCTATGACTCACCCCCCATAATCTAGCAGCATCCGGCCGGAGACTACCCCGAGGTAACTATAAGATAGTAATTCAACTTATGAATGCCTAAATTGTCACTGTCATTGTCGTGTTATTGTTGTTTGTTATGGGGCTCAAACAGTCAGTAACACTTTGACAATCACTATTGGCATTGATTGACAGTTGAATCATTGATCATTGGACGGACCAGGTCAGTGACAGGTCAGTGGCAGGCAACTAACTGAACTAGCAGCCATTGGTAAATAATAATAATAATACTAAGCCCAATGAATGGTCAATTATGTTTAGGCTTAGTTTAAGTTTCAGATCAACTATATTATATAATAATAATAATAAATAAGAAGAATAATAATTAATTAAATCCCTGTGCATTTCAAACTAGCTAAAGGCTTTTCGGCTTCCCAGGGTTCAGGCTTACGTTTGGGGGTGCCGTGTGTCGCAGGGAACATTATTATTGTACTAAGTATCAGACACGGGAATGTAAACGTGCTTCAGGATGACATGAAGTTTGAATTAATTGAACTGTCGAAGGGCTCTGTAACAGTACTGCCTGTAATAGCTAGTTAGTTCACAGTTTCACAAGGCATTGATGCAGGGTTCAACGGTTTCACGCTGGAGCTGGTGCTGTGAAAGGACTTGATTGCTGGGGGGTTCTACGTGCTACTTTTTGGGGGGTACTAAGGACCTGATTAGATTCGAGCTCTAGTATTGTAATTGTTTAATTGTAGGCTTTAGCAGACATGTGCATTCAAGATCCCAGGGTCGCGCCGGGCTCAGCGAAGGCCCTTGTACCTGACAAGTCAGTTCAGTAATTGAATTGCTGAGATTGTCCTTAATTATGACTATTATTCTTAGTATTTGTAGTATCAATCGAATCAGACTTATCATTGTCTGTCAAGCGTCGTCAATATAAGAATCGCCAACATCACCGAATGTCTTTAGTCTTTGTGTACAGAAGGCTTTTATCTGTTTGATCCGGTTGACTCAAGTCAAATCAAAAGTCGGTCAAGGGGCTAAGGGCCAGGGCTAGGGCTGTCAAAGCTTCCGTCCGTGGTTAGTTACGAGTTACCTGACACTGACCACTCACCCTAAGCCCTAAAATCGTCGTCGGTCGTAGGCCTCATTATAGTGGGCTTGGGTAGGCCCACTCACTCAGACTACTAGTACCTGAAGACTGGAGTAGATTCTGTCACAATGTCGTCACTGACTAACTGTTAGTGTCATGAGGTGTCATGCTGCACACAATGCTGCCGGGGTAGATTCTATCATGATTCCAAATGCCAACGATCTGACCAAAGCCTAAGCCACTATTTGGAGTCTAAACACTAATACTAATAACGCTAACTGCTGACATCGCCTCATCATTGAATTGTCACTGTACTGCTAATACCAATATTGAATACTAGCCCTGGGTAATAGTATTGCAACATCATTCATTAGAACTAGATGCGAATAGAAACTATTGTTGGGCACCGTTACCAGTTACAACAGTCAACAAAAGCCCTGCGTCTGGCCTCAACCGGAATCTTCCTCAGCCAGGGCTTTCCTGAGCCAGGTGGACCCGGTACTTTTACTGCAGCACGCTGAATCGGGGAACAGACTGGCCGCGGCTACGGACGTCTTTGGATGATCATTCAAGGTCTCAGCAGCTTTTGGCGCAGGGCAGCAGTGACTCCGAACCCGGACTCAAAGGTTTGTATGGAAAAGCCTTCCGAGCCGTCAACACCAAGCAACTCGACAGTGAACTTCGCAAGGCATTGGTGAACGTCAAATTGCCGACTGCAAAGAAAGCTGGTCCAGCATCGAATCAAGCCGCTGCTGCAGCCACGAGCTGGATCGCCAATGCAGCGCAGGATGGATTCAAAGGCGTCGCCTTGGCTTGGGCAGGCTGGAATTATCAATAATATAATATAACATGACATGCTGCTAGGGCCCAGGGTAGGTTTACTGGCTGATCGATGGGTTTATTGATTAGTCTGATTGCTTATTATTATTGGCGGGTTGAATGTTTTGGCGGCATAGCCTGTTTCAAACAGATAAACATAGTACGGACCATAGCCATAATAATAGGGGGGCAGGCATTGCCAACTTACTACGTAACTGTCTCAGTCAGTCTCAATCTCTTATCCTTATACAGCAGGTGCGGGGTCGACCAGTTCATTCTGCCACCTTATGAATAATGTTGGGTTGTTGTCATCTCTATCCCAGTCTAGTCTGAAGCGTCTACACTGCAATGTTGACTGGAGTCCTGTGTCACTGATAAGATACCCGTTTGTATGTCCGTCTGCCGTTCCTTATTATTGTTCATGTTCTAGGATGTCAGGGACCCATAGGATTCGGATTGTTATACTATTTTACACCGTGGCCTGATTATAATAACCGCTGAACTGAGCGAAACAAGGCCGAACACCAAATCGTAGACACTGACTTTAACTCACTAAATCTAAAACTCTACTCCAACAAATTAGATTAATTAATACGAAGATTTATCTAATACGGGCGGGCCTAAAGCCTAAGTTTGCTTGGGGAGTTCACTGTTCGCATTGAGGCATCTTCCTGATGAAAGGCGGTGTGTTTGTCAGCAGACGGGATGCAGGGCTCGTCGTCCTCTCGTTGGGATTCCGGAAGTATGGAGCGCTGGCTGCGAGGATGCGTGAGCACACGTCCCCACACGATCCCTCGACTGCTGCTTGGTCAGATCCTTTGCATCTGGGGGTCTGATCTGGGTTTTTTTGTTCGGGAGCTCTTTTATATTTTTGGTTATTTATCTCTCATCCGATTCGTCACCTGGGTGCTCGACGACTCCTCATGCATCTTGTGATTCTGACTTGAAAACCGAGACCTTCTTCACTGTGGATCTCGATCCTGCCCACTGCTCGCCAATCTGGCTGTTCAACAGCAAGCTTGACCGGTGCGACTGGCTGCGACATCAAGTGAAGCTGCTCCACCCACTGCTTGTCCCACCGGATCTCAGGGGGTTCAGCATCGTTCTGCAAAAGACTGGGCCACCACAAGAGCCACTGCCTGCGGCGCTGCGGGCAGGAGTGTTCTTGACTGTCAAGCAGCTCAGAGAGCTGCAGGGACACTTTCACTTTCCGATCCCTGGAAGAGGATGCGGCTCAGGAAAGAAGGGCAATGTCATCAAGAAGGACCTGGCTAATGCACTGTTGACGTTTATGTTCGGTGAATCATTGGCAAAGGCCGACCGGGAGCAGATGCTCAACACCCTCATGGGGCAACAATGGGACCGCCAGGGAAAGGGATCCCCCCATGCCGCTGAGCTCGTCGCTGCTTTCAAAAGCTTGGACCCAACAGATCAGCCGCACTTTTGCAAGCTGGCGGCCGTGGCATCTGACGAAGCCAAGCTTAAGGAGACGCGTGCAGCTCGTGCTGACATCCAGGCAGTCCATGCTTCACCGGCATACGAGACCCCGAGGGCACTGGCCAAGCTCCTCCCTTTCGGCGAAAACTTCAGCTGTCGTTTCAGCCGACACCCGGTATTGAAAAGGTACCAGTGCTACATCATCGATGGAGTCAGCGGCTTCTCGTCGTCATTCGACAATTCCTTTTTGGTTTAACATGCATTCATTCATATTATTTATTAGACGTCTTGGGGTTAGTAAAAGTAAGGGTTTTGAACTTGGGTGTATGGTCGAATTTTGTCTGCTGCCGTCAGTCAGGCTGTCTGTCTGTCTGTCTGTCTGACGCTGTCTGTCATAGACAGTCCGTCACATTAGTGAATCAGTCAGGGTCTAGTGTCTAGGATTTGTAACTGATTGTTTATTTTTATTTCTCGACTCGACTCGAGTCGAGTCCAATCATAATTACCTGCCGTAGTACCTGGACGACCTGACGGTCTGACAGACAGACAGTCTGTCAGTGACAGACAGACAGGCCAGTACAGTACTGATAAACTGTAAACTTAAGACTTAAGACTTAAACCCGTAATCCCGGCCCTAAAAATAATAAAAAAATGAATTCGATAAAAATAGACCTTGACCCTGATCGTGACCGGCTAACGGACCCGAAAGGACCATTAATTGAAATCTGAAATCCCTTTCAAAGAATAACCCTGCGTCAATCCTAGCCATACTAGCTGCGCCCGACCCTCGCCCCCAGTCCATTGCCCAGGTCGGCAGTGGTCACATGCAGCCACGTGGCATGGTCCACGGCGCCAGCTCTCTGAAGAGGAGGCCCTGAAAGACTGCGTGGATGCATGCTGGACGGAGGTGCGCAGGACTCGTGAGCTCACTGATTTTCAGACAGAGCCAGGGGCTCGGTCAGCGTTTGCAGAATCAGCCTAGAAGGTAGCCCCAGATTCCTTTAAATTTGGGACTATAGACAGTTCAAGGTTCAGGGATTCCGGGATGTGGACCAGTGGAGAGAACGTGGCATCGTGGATCGAAGCACGGCCACTCACTGGCTCCCAGACGACAAACCCTCAACCCCCTATCCAAAACCCCTGAACTGGACCCTTAATTAAACTGTAAGCCAAATACTTAAAACCTGAAAACCCGAATCCTAAGCCCAAGCATTCCAAAATCTGAGCCTTTTCTGGGACCTAGTAACCAAGGCCGACGATGGATGAGATTTCGGAAGTGGTGGCCGCTTTTGACAAGGCCACCGGTTACAAGACGCCTCCTGGAACCGCTGCTGCTAGTGCTGCAGCATCCCCTGCTCCTCGCAAGCGGGCAGCTCCTACGACCCCCAGCCCTGCTACACCTCGTTATCCGATGCCTTCTGATTCTGAATCTGTTCCAAATCCAAAGCCGCCGGAGGCGGATGCAGTCAAGACACGCCGAACCGGTAGCAGGGGCCGGGGCGGTAGCTCCACTAGTGCAGTCGAGCCCAAACCCAAGCGTGGCCGGCGCGGTCGGGGCACATGAAGTGGCAGGTAGCCGGAGGCCGAGTGATCCGTGATAGTCACTAGTACTTTAAGAGTTGCACTACTGGTTACCTTAATTCCAGATTGAGTTCAATGGTCCGGCTCCTGCAAGCTTCTTTCTGACTCTGTATGACGACTAAAGGATCTGATAAAAGGAGTCGTGATGTCTTTGGAATGGTTTTGTGAGGACTTCAGGTGTCATCGATATTACCCGTGATGTCTTTGGAATGGTTTTGTGAGGACTTCAGGTGTCATCGATGTGTTTTTATGCTGGGCTCCATAAATGTCTTTGGAATGGTTTTTTGAGGGCTTCAGGTGTCATCGATGTGCTTTTCCCCCATGAGCCACAAGAAGAAGCTAGGGCTACTCAAGGATCTTAGAGAAGGTGGGTCACCCCTAAGTGGGTCGGCCTGGGGTCTCCTGATCATTATCGAAAAGGATTTCTAAAAATGATACAGGTAATTCTTGAGGCCCCTACATTAAGCCATGGCTCATATTGTCAACCCTAAACCCCATAACCCTAAACAGGTAAACCCCTACACCCCTGAACTCTTAAACCCTAAACCCCTAAACCCCTACAACCCCATAACCCTAACCCCCTGAACTCCTGAACCCCTAAACCCTAATCCCCTAAACCCTAAACAACCCTTAAGCCTCATATTGTCAACCCTATGGTCTCATTTGTTGCTGCAACTTTCCGCTCCAGGCTCCCGCTTCCAAGTTCGGAGGCAGAGAAAACTGGAATCCCGACGACTTACCCACAAGTGTTTAGGGTTTAGGGCTTTGAGGGTTTAGGGCTTTGAGGGTTCAGGGTTTAGGGTTTAGGGCTTTAAGGGTTTAGGGGTTTAGGGGTTAGGGGTTTAGGGGTTTGAGGGTTTTGGGTTTAGGGAAGGCTTGATGGCCGTTGAGGCCTGTAACTGTAATGTTTAGCATTTTGAGGCGAACACTTTTGGGACTCAGGAGGGCCTTCGGGTGTAGGGTTTTGGCGGTCTTTCGTCTTACGAAATGCTTGCAGCGTGATGGCCTTATGGAGGCGATCCTGATAACCCAGCACCAGAACTTGGCCGCGTTGAGAAAGATCGCATACCCCAAGAGCCCATCTGCACGGAGCAAACCTCAACAGAGCCTAAAGCCTAAACCATCCCAAACCCTAAACCATCCTAAACCCCTCAACCCTAAAAGCTTAACACCAAAACCCCCAAAACCCTGAATCAAAAGTCCCGAACCCCAAAAGAACCCCTCGACCCGTTGTGTGTGGGTGGGATTGCCGGGTCCTGGGATTTACCAAGGGCCTCGGGGCTTCAATGCGCCGGGGTTCGTTCAAGGCTTCTTTGGAGGTTCATGCGACTTAGTAAACACAGCTCTAAGTCTATACTTTTAACAGGAGCTATAAGCAATTATAACTATACTCTGTAATTCTAAAATGACAGGTATAGTACCCTATTCAGGGGGATTTAGGGGTGAGGGTTGAGGGCTCAGCTTAGAGTTCAGGAGTGTTCCGCATTTACTTTTGATTTTGATGTCAAGGGATTCCAGGCGATCTGGATCTTGCTGCAGCAGGTGCCTGGGAAGGCAAGGGATCGGACCCCGACCTGCGCCAGTGCAGACGTTTTGGGGTATAAGGCTCGGAGTTTGGGGTTTGGTATGGGGCTTATAGAGTTTGGGGTTTGGGGTTTAGGGTTTGGGTTCGGTATTCTGGGGTTTGTGGAGTTTGGGGTGTAGGTTGTAGGCTTTCGGGTTTGGGGTTCTGGGCCGGCCAGGGCGGGATTGGTTTCGCATAAGCTGAACGAAAATGTGCTTTGCAGCGCTTTTTTGAAAAGGTGTGGGTTGCAAGTTGTGTTTGGTTCTTCAGCAGGTTTGTTTTTGGGATTCCAAATCTTGACTGGCTCCGAAGTACGGTGCGGATACACATAAGGCTTCATCGTTCATGTTATACCTAATAGCTCTGAGTCCGTTTGTGATTCTGCTTTTGGAAGAAAGGTTTCGAGGGCAGTATTTAGCGGGCCAGGGGCATTTTTGCAGCGGCGTGGAAGGTCTTATGTAGGGGTTTAGGTTCCAGGCGAAAAGGGTCTAGGGCGGAGGCCCCCCTTGATGACTCCTTTCGAAGTCAGTAAACTACTTTGCAAAATCCTAAGGGTCCATGTCCCAAATAGTATAATAACACTTTGGGCCAATGTGCCTACATAGGGACTACTTTCAGGCCAATGTATAAAATGTGGGTACATGGACCCTTAGGGAAACATGCCTAGCATAGAAAACTAAACACGTATATCGACTATCTTAGACTAGTCTTTCGAGGCTGTGTCCGGCAGAGCTAGCAGGGGACCCTCAGAAAAAGCTCTTCACGCATTATTCCTTACAGGAGTCCTGCTTTAGAAGAAACCACCTTCAGGTGAAAGATTTGTCAAAGCTTGAACCCTAAACCCTACATTCAAACCCTGAACAGAAGCTGTAAGCACAAGCTTCTCAAGCCGGGAGGACAGTCCCAGGATGGATGCAGATTCAGCCAGGATCCTAAGACCGCAGCCACAACAGCAACAGCAGAAACAACAGCAAATGCGAAGCAGAGTATCTAACAGTAATAGCATTTGTCATAATACGACTAATAGCAATAGTAATAGTAGAAATCGGTGTAATTTTACTAATACGAATCATGATAACAATGACTATGGCTATGGTAATAAATGCAAAAAACCCAGAGTAGGCCGAACCCTCATTACTGTCCCTAAGCACTGACCCTGAACCCCAAAGCCCTAAATCCCAAACCTCTAAAAGGCACCCTGCCTCTGCGAGGTCACATTCAGCCCGCATAGCCCATGCCCCCCGGGCCACCTTCAGAGAAGGGTTTAGGGCTTAGGGTTTAGGGTTAGGGTTTTGGGTTTAGGGTTTAGGGTTTAGGTTTTAGGGTTTAGGGTTTAGGGTTTACATAGGGTTCTGGGTTGCGGGTTCCAGTTGCGCTTAAAGGATCATGGGACACCTTCTAGAGTGCTGCAAGGGGATATTATGCTTCTTCTGACGGACCCTGGAGCCTTTAGGGGCACGTCCCAAAAGGGAATACGGTTTAGGGTTTAGGGTTTACTACTTATCCCGACTCCTTTATTGCTGTAGTGGTGCCTTGCAACATGTACAGTTTCACGGCTTGCGGTTCTCGTCCGCGGCCTAGTGCCCTTATCTCACCGAATTCAATAAAATTGTGACACCTGGAGTCCCAACCGCTCCTATCCGCAAATCCCTAAACTCTAAGCCCCTAAACCCTACAATTTTTAAGCTCTTAAGTGCATTCCCTCCAGCTACTCCGGCGCGAAGTGCGACCCGGACTTAGTTAGATGCATGAAGGCACGAATGCCAGGACTCGAACCCTGCGAAAAGCCTCTTGAATTCCTGCTTTCAAATAGCCTGTGAGCAACTGCCCCAAAACCGACTGAACCCCAGAAAAGCCCTACAAAAGCTTTGCTAAAGTTAGACGAAACCTATACGTAAAGCCTCAAAACTCTCGAACCACAGATTCACAGCCCCTGAAAACGGACTGCCCCATTTACAGCCTCCCAAAGAGCCCCGAACGCTAAAACCCGAACCTTTCAAAGCCTAAACCGTATGCTCAGCAGGCCGGGAACCCGGGCCGCCGTCTTGTTGATCCACGGACTCTAACTGAGCCTGTCCAAGGCAGCAGGTTCGTGGGAAACAGTTTCTGAG